GGATAGAAAACACGTGCGCTCATGACCTCGAGTATCACGCCATACGAAAAGAACCAATCGAAGCAGGAAGTTAAACAGCTAAACTGAGAGCCATGTATTGCGAATTGATGGCTAATTCGAAATAAACATTGGTGTTGGGCATCACCGTTTTGAAAAAAATAATTGGAAAATGCAAATTAATCGCGTAGTTGACCCCGAATAAAGCAGCATTACTTGCGACACTCGTAGAGCTTTGCAGTACAACCAGGAGACAATTCTGGATGACGTAAGCGTGTATTGCAGGTTGCTGTGGTCATTCATGGACATTCGTGCAACACGCCTCACTCCATAGAGAAGAGGGGGAACTCCAATGGTTCATTGAGCTGAACGTAAGCAACTGATGGTCACAGACATGAAGTAGTATCGTTGTGTCGTAAAAGGTGGCGCTTGTGTATCGATACAACTTTTTGCAAATTAAATACCTGCAGCTCTCCCCCGGTGCTGCTGCTAGTTTTATACTTTGTTACTCTACTTTTATCCCTACGGACAGTCAAAATCGCAGCCACAAAGTACAATCGAGGGCTGAATGAAATGACCTGAGGTGGTCTCTAATGGTAAGGACGAGACTTAAGGATGGTGAATGGTTTGTTGCGTTCTAAAATTTAGGTTTAACTTCTCATCACACATCACAAAGCTGAGATGAAGCGTTCACGTGCACAATTACCGGTGTCCCCCGTTTAATGTTGCCATGTACATTCGCCGAATCTAAAAAATGTGCACTGATTGGGAACTCACCATGGGAGACTTGCATAGTGCAGCCAGTTCTGCTTGATGCACCACGGTTGTGTTTTTCAACTGTTGGGGAGTAAAGCCGGCTCGCGCCTCTTCCACGAGATGATCTAATTTCAATCGGTGGGCTAGATCCATCAATGCAGTGTATTTGGGTGAGACGAAACAGATGGCGTAATGCTCAGATGAATTTGCATACACGCAAACCTGTTCCACATAGACTGACTGGGATAAGGCCAGTTCCACCTTGCTCAGAGACAAGTACTCACCAGCTTGTAACTTGACCAAATCCTTCTTCCGGTCAATGATAGACAGACTGCCGTCTGTGTGCATGAGGCCAATATCTCCTAAGAAGGCAATGAACAGAAACCGTACGGTGAGATGTTAAAAGTGGGAACTTGTGATAACTGAAATCTCCAAATCAAATGTGGGGGTGAAATTGACCAAAAGACCATCATTTTCCCCCTAGTGGACATCGGTAAACCGTATGCCGCAGAAGTACAGATTGAAAACAAGTGGCAAAGTAGACTTGTCGGCCACACATTAAGGATGTCACTAAAAGTGAATGTGGTGCAAGATATGTATTCGTGATTAGACAAGCAAGCGGATGTAGTCATTGAGGCAGACCAGACAGCTGCATGTGGATTGGCATGTGACTAGTAGGCAAGGGCAGGGATGATGACCACATATTGGCATTAGTTAGAGACGTGAGACGCATGGGTTGATTGCAGTCTGATGAGTGAGTGCACCAGCACTGAGTACGGGAGCATCTAATTGAAGGTGAAAACCTACACAGACGACAGACATCAGTTCATTAGCCAAGAACATATGTCGGAATTCATGACGCCAGCGGTATAGGACCAATCACCATCGTTAGAACTCAGTCAAGCTAAATTGACTTGAGGCGTTAAGACTCTGATCTTATGATACTGTTTGGAATTCATATCACATAAAGATAGTCGAGCAACAGTTCGCGAATTAGTAACTCGACTCCTGTAATCACAGACCAAAAGAAATGAGTCATAGATATTAACACACTAATTTGGACGAAGAATAACCCGAAAGCACCAAAACGGTCCTAATGGTAACGGAGATATCCAGATAAGTGAAGTATTGTCGAAATGCAAGTCTGAAAGAAGGCTGAGGTTCATTGCGCCTCAAATGAAAATAAGTCGGTCTCACGGATGATGGATCTATTGCAACAGGCGGGGGGGGGGAACGAATGTTTACATAGGTGATAGAACAAGCTAATTCATGCCAGTCATAGTCGTGTATGTGATCCTTTTCCAAACAAACCTCAAGCAAGAGCTGCTGCTGGCTGAGCATTCTTGCTGTTTTGGTTGTGTGCCAGCTGCCCTTGGCTTGACACATTTGGACCTCTCATCAACTGTCTTGATTCGACTGTCCAGACTGCGGGCCTCACGAGAAAAGTTCGAATTGAAACATTTTTCTGTCCATCTACAATTTAGCAATACCACGCTTGTCGTATGAGTACTGAAGGATGTGATTTGATTATATGATGAATTCGTCGTGTATAGAGCCAATGAAGTGTGAAATGAAAAGTCGGGAAGCATTGGACAGTTTTCTCGACCTGGTTGAGTGTCATCAGGAGTGCAAATCCATCGACCCGACTGAGGATCGAACACGGGATCTCACCGGTAGGACACAAGCATACTACCCACTCGGCAATCGGGCAGCTGACAGACCACTTTTATTTTCATTTTCCGCATACACGATAAAGCACAACCCATCTTTTTAACTCGTTGAGAGAATCACACCTTGTTCATCTCAGCACTAGTCTTCAGGGTTGTGACTCAGTAGAAAAAACTCTGAACCGGACTATTTCTCATACAATAGTGATGGGAAATTTTATTCCTTTATAGAGTGAATTTCTTGCTAACATAGGTTGTAAAATACTATTTGACATTTAAGTCACGCTTTATGAGCTTAGTAGCATCTAAATCTACCCATAAAATACCGACTCAAATAAACATCCACAGTACAGTTTCGGTTTTTGCAGCCATTAACCATGAACTTTCATGTGCAGGTTTTGTTCGCTGCCTCATGACTGCCAATTAGGATAAAAGAGCAAAAGAATGGAATGTCGCGAGCAGAGTTAAAGAAAAGATGGACAATTCACATNCTAACGTTGCAAAGAAATTGAGATGTACGATCACAACAGTTTACGAAACTCAGCCATATCACGGTGTCTCTAACCATCGGTTACGATGATCCCGAGGTCCTCATCCAGGAAAACTAACGTGGTCTGTGAGCAAGCCTTCTGGTAAGAATTTCATACCCTCGTGTCAAGTTCGATTACAAATCAGAAGACCAGTGCCGGATTCAGGAAAGAATAACTACTGATGAGACCCAACCAGGTCGAAACAGCAGTCCAGTGCTTGCTAGCTTTTCAGATCGCACCTCATTTACACGACACTGTCTATCAGTCACTGTCGTTCCTTTGAACAGTTTCTATTCAATTAGTCAATCATCTTGTTTGTCCGTTGCACTACCGGTCTCTTCTACACCATGATGAAGCTTGGGTGGATAGCACAGTGGTATCCGCAGTACCACTCGAATTTTGTGCCTCTAGTATTTCTGCAACTAGTTGCTTCCTATACTGCGATAAGTTGACGGTGATATCGTGATTTAATGGTGGACTGGATTCGCATAAGTCATACTGCTTTCTACGGACATTTGTTTTTGCCATCGGGCAATTGCTTGACCGGCGAGAATCTGTCAGCTCCACATTCTGAGTGATCATCCACGCCCATCTACCAGGAAGCAGTGCTCATCCAAACACTAATGTAATAACTGTGCTCCTATTCATGATTTGAAAAAGCGCCCAGTGGCGTACAGCTCCGCAGATCAAAGACTTGTAGCTTCCTACTGGATTCACTACTTAGCGTTCTCGTTTTCTTATGAAGTAAACGATTTGTTAGCATTATTCTACTCAGATCGTAAACAAAAAAGATGAGCTGCCATCACGAATACTATCTATTCTGAGTTTATGCTGAGTTTCCTCCTAATTCCTTGAAGTCAGTACCGTATAAGGATCACCAGCCAATGATACCGAATGAAAGAACCAGAATGTGGTACTATCGGTTATCGGTCCTCCTTTCCAAGAACTGTAACCCTATGTTGCATTCTATCCTGTTCTGTTCTGTTCTAACTTAAGACCTTGATTTTTTTAATGCAGAAAAAACATGTAGACATGCAATCCCTCAATCTTCCGTGCACTTACCCGTACAGAACCATCGCACGCCATTTTCATCTTTGTAAAAATCACGCTCGGTCAGTTCCGGTTGTTTGTAATAACCTTTCGAAACTGGACCACCGGATATGAGAATCTCACCACGTGGAGAAGGTTTGTCGTAAGGTGAGTACCCACCTTCAGGCCATGGACGAAGTTTGATTTGAGTTGATGGAGACGGTGCACCTACGTGGTTGCATCTTAAGTCTCCACATTCCATCAGGGCCCCCGCAGAACTGGTTTCTGTTAAGCCGTACCTATGAGAGCAGAAGAAAAAAGGATTTAATAGAAGGTTGCCGAAGGTGACGTTATTACAATCCACATCGCTTTGTCTTAGTCTGCCTTGACTTGGGCAACGTGGCAGTATTCCACCCACAAGCAAGTCGTGCAACGTTCTTCTTTTTACAAAGATTATTGTATTGTGATTTGCTTAGCACACGGTCTGAACCCAGCCGTGTGTGAAATACGATTCGTTTTAGCGCGTACCGAACAAATCCTGATTCCGGAGTTCTCACAGATTAAAGTTGTTTAACGAACTGAGACGTAGTGAGTGATGTTCACAGTTATAGGAAGTTCGCCATAACTTATGACATACTTTATCCTTATTTTTAAAGTAGCTATGCACTCTATGATCATTCTATCACTTCAATTTAATGGTCTGAATGTAGAAGCTTAGTATGCGTTGTACTGGTTTGTTACTTGGCAGATTTTCGAATTTCAATTTAATGAATGAAGACAACTGAGACAGAGTGAGACAGGTTAAATGGCAACAAATCCATCTTGAAGCACGCACAAATCCAGACATCTAATGCAGAATTCACTGACGATGAATAAACAGAAGCATTTGGGGGGAAAATAAACTCACCCCTGGACGATTGGTGCCAAACAGATGTTGGCAAATAATTGAGAATCTTCCGACAGTGGTGCACCACCGCTCACAATGTATCGAATCCGCCCACCCATCAGTGAACGAACACGTCGGAAGATGAGTCGATCGACCAGGAAGCTTGGAAATCCGCCATGAATTCGGCGGCACTTGTAGTCGTAGGCAAAACGGAATAACTGAAAGGCAAATAACATTTAACCATACACAACGGCATCCTAAATGGAAGTAGGTGTCGTTGTTACAGGGACCTATTTTTCAGTCACGGAAACCGGGTCACAAGCTCTGATGCTTGGAAAGGTGACCCGGAGCTCAAATAGGACCGTTAGAATCCGTTTGTATAATTGTTAACTCGGGATTCACAGACTACGAATCTGGCCGCTTGCTTCAGGCTACCCATTTGATCGGCCAATGCCTAAAATACTAAGCCTGGACGAAAAGTGGAGGTATGGCTGTAGAAGCACATGGTCTCCGACGAATCAAAACATGTAATCGGCTAGGACACTTTCTTTTTTGCGAATATTTCCTGATGGAGAGTGAGTCGACTTCCTGGATGCCTCAGATAGCAGCTTTCTGTGCGCGGCGATTCGTGCCGAGGTCGAGTGATGAAATCATTGCTCCATAACCGGATTTTATAATTTGAATGTAGGTTTGGGCGTTTCATGTTCGACTTCACCGCGTTTACCATTGCTTCGATCTATCTCCGAGATATCCAAGTAAGAATTTGCTAGAGTGCACAATGCTTACTCCAGGAACTCTACTAAATATGAGGGACTAATATCAGGACTATTAGAAAAACAGGGAATTTCAGTGTCCCCAGATGCACTATGCGACAAGATAGACAAGAAATCTGAGTCAGAATGAGGGGGAGACAAAATAATGATAGGAATATCAATTGTAGGATTTACAATAAGTAAGAAATTGAATTCTAGGGATTTAAGGTAATAGTAATTTGGACAAACATGCAGTTTCTGATGAAGCATTTCAGCTGTCAAGCCAGATAACCTATAAAATACCAAGATTCAACAAAAAATTAAGTTCATGCTACTCTTGTCAAATTTGAGAGCCAAATGATTTGGAGGATCGAATGACTGCAAACAATAATTAATAATTAATAATAATAACAATAAAGGCCCCACTATACCTGAAATTTGATCGATATATTGAAGCAGTGCACACTTGTCAAGAGTCGGTTCTACGGGAAGTGCTCTCGATATACTTTTTAAGTGCACCGGACACAAATCACATTTAGGACGGGAATCACAGGCGTTTATACAAGCGTGAACTAATCAAATTGTCCGGTTTGCAAAATAAAAGTCTGATACGGACCAACCATAAAAACACAATGGATGCAGTAAAACGAACGAGCAATCGAAAAAACACTTCGGAACACAACACAGATCAAATTTGAGAAAATTCTGATCAATAACGTTATAAGCGAAACGATGCAGGGTAGAACCTTTGATTTGGAATGGATTATATTATTTACTTACTGCTTTCGAGAACTCTCCACCTGAATTGACCTTTTGCCACACTGCCTTAGACACTCGCTCCAAGACAGTTGGCACGCTGGCAAACAAAGTTGGCCGCAGTAATGTGATATCCCCCTTGCATGCACCTTGTTTG